CGGGAAAATTTATATTTTTTTAAAAACTTTAAGTCTTTAATTGCTGCATTGAATATATTACGAATATTTTGATTATTTGAGTTCGTTAAAGCAGTAGGCCTTTTTACCATAGTAAAATAAGGCCTACTAGCAATGTTTTTAGAAATGTTTAATTTTGTTTTTCTTTATGGCAAATTTTAAATTTTTTCGTTCATACTTTATAGGAACTGTACTAAGCCAATGATTTTTATTAAAATCTGTAGGTAGACCAAATCAGATATTTTTCACTTTTTTTAATTTCCCTTACCTAGGCCACATTACCCGCAGGTAATATAATATATTTTTTAATCATTCTACATGGTTTTCGTTCCCGCCAACTAACGTGGTTGTGAGATGGTTTCTTAATAGCATGAACGACAGCCTTTAACGGCTTCTGCAATGTAGAAAATCGAGCTTAGGTAAATGTCATAGTATAAACATAATCGTAATATATAAAATCATAATCATAATATATAACTAAATGTAATGTGTGGTACCACCTGGTAACCAGGCATCAACTTAATGTACGCAATGTAGTAGATCGCGCAAACTTAGACGCATCGTTAGGGACTTATTTCCACTAGTAGTCCGGAGACTGGTGATGTGAAGCAAATCATCGTGTGGGATAAACATGTTTTATTAGGCGGGTGAGGCGTACTTGTAGTTGTGATGAGTCGCAATAGACACAGACGCGTGTCTGTGTGCGTAACTACAGGTAGCGTTAGCAAGCTCATCTTAAGTGAATAAAATAATATAAGTTACCTAAGTATGCAGTGAAATCAAATTGTTAGTTTCCACTACAACAAAGAGGCTTTATTTACGTTTTAATCACAGATTTGAATGTCGATGCCTTTCCGTGAATTCATACTATCTCGAATGATCCGTGACACATACTAACGAAGAGTTTAATTGTAAGAAATAATTACATGTTATAATCAAACTCTATTTCTCCTTCTTTTAAAAAAAATGTTTTTTAAAATATCTCTAACTATTTGCTACTTAGCAAAGGACACATTAGTTTTCTTACACCACTTTCTTACAAAATTTTTCTATCCCATATCATCCCGTAGGTCCGTAAGAGATGAAAAGAAGCAAATATTCCCGATTACAACTTATAATAATAAAAACTGAAAATCCGCGTGCCGAGCGCAGCAAATATGAGGCAATCAATAGGAAGGCCGTCATTCAGCAGTAGACTTTTGATAGGTTCTGGTGATGTGATGTGTGAAGTGGAGCAAAATAATATGCTGTTGAAATGCGTTCATTAAGGAGGATGCTATGGCTGATTTGGTGAAATTGTGTGATAAGAGAAAAGTGTGGTTTGCAAGGTGATGTTTTGACCAGAATTAAGACAGGAATGCTTCGGTGGTTTGGTCATGTGGAAAGAATGAATGATGAAAGAGTGACAAAGCAAATCTATGTTGCAGATGTGAACGATTCTGCGAGAAAGCACGCCCTAGATGAAAGTTTATCGAACAAATTAGCGATATATTAAAAATGGGCCAGATTAGGAGTACCCTTAACCGACGATATGGATGTAAAGAAGGCGAGAGGGGTGTGTCAGGATCGTGCCAAATAGTAGTCCGTAGTCTTCGCTCTGGGTGGCAGGCGTGAGGCTAAATTTTGAAAAAGTGCCAATGGTTATAATTGTAATTAAAAATACTATCTTAAGCTGTATGTGTGAATGGTCAACAAAGCAAAGCCATGTTTTATTAAAAGAAAAACTGTCATTTGTAAAAAATAAACGTGGAGACAATTATAAGTACATTACTAATAATATTCCATCTAAAAATCATTTCGATGAAGCTTCTCTATGTAATTTTAACATATATCTTCATTCTGAGTGTATTTTTACTATTTGTGTATCTCATGATAACCGTGGACCCAGGATTGCGCGAGTTGACGCAGCGAGCTGCAAAAATGGCGGGAAATGCTGAAGAGGACGATGACATATTAGTAAGAAAGCTAAATAAATAAAACTTTAATCGTTAAACCGCTTAATGATGATCTGACTTCCTAATTATTGGAACCATGTTTCGAACCCGAAGATAATCATGCAAAAATACAAAGTATTGAAAATTTAGGTATAAATTTATTGTGATTTACAAGTCATTGTCAAGGGGATAGTACCTATTCTGTATTATCAGAAGTTGTTGTTGTTTGTTCGTTTGTGTTTGTGTGTTCGTGTGCATGCGCCTGTAATTTCCTACCATCGTAATAGTAGCAGTGTGAAATACAAACACAAATCCGGTGTGTTTCATATATATAGGTACATATTTTCATTGAGTTACGAGAACCAGAAAAACTTTATATCGGTAATGAGATATTCTACCTTATATATGAAAGGTGTGTACTCAGGAGTGACAATACAACTGTATTTTGATTCATATTAGGAATAGATGTACCTAGATGTCTATGAGCCCTAACACTTATTTACCATCAGGTGGATTGTGTGCTGATTTGTCATCCTCAGGACTGATATTTCAATCATTAGATAAAAGTGATTAAAGGGATAAATACAACAGAAACAAATTAAAAGTTACCGTCATAAATCAACATGTTGTTCCTCTCTGTAACAGTATAAGTCCACGCGGTCCTATGCGTACAATGGCACTAGTTGCAGTCACATTGCTCAATAGACTAAATCTAAAACATGGCTTGCCCGGTGCCACTGTCGGGTAGCAATCGGTCGTGTAATTTAATGTACTACGTGTGTATCTTTTTAGTGTGAATGTGATAGCTAAAAAACATCGAACATAATTTTCTAGTACCTGGATGATCGATCTTTCCTCGGTATTTTTTTTTTTTGGAAATCGTGTGTTTTGGAAATTATATTTAGATACAAATTAGATACTAATGAAACATGAATAATATTTTTTAATCTTATTGACATAATAGAAAAACTGAACTGGTTATGTGAATAAAAAATCATGAGTGCAATTAGTTTAATTTAAATTTTCGTATTTTAAAAAAATACTTAAAAAGGGCTCGAAATAATAGATTTTCTCACAAAAGAAGGGAACTTGAAAAAAAAGGAAAAAAAGTCGCACCGAAGAGAGGGACGCGAACCAGGGCACTACGATATCGCGACCGCCCGATATCCACTTATATTACCTTCTTATATTTTAGCAGTTTTTCATGGCCTGAAAACATACTTAATTTATGAAAATCCTTGGAGCCGTTTCCGAGATTCCGATTATATATATATATATATATATAAAGCTCGTTTAAAGGTATAGGATACAGCTTTACTGTTTCACGTCGTCATAATAACAGATTGTTCAAATGATGGGAAATTGCAAGGATCCTGAGCCATACTACCAATATCCAATATCTCCGTAGCATTTATGTTTGTGCCTGTGTATGCACATTAGAACGTCTTGAGTAACTACAACTACCGACAGTATTTTGATATTCGATACAGTCAGCGAAACATCAGTATACCAGTATTGTAACTAATTTCTGATTCTGTTTATTTTCCGTAGCCGCCTGAAGCTTATTCCGATGTAAGCAGTTTTCTTAGCTCCGAAACAAAGTGAAGTACCAACTTACATTTACTGACTCAGTTTAAGGAGTTATGTAAAGGACATTGGTGTAAGATACTAAACTAAAATAATAAAAACGTTGAAAATAATAAGCTCGGAATTTTCATTAAAATTTGATACAATGTAAAACGGCATATAAGAAAATCTAGCACCCTATTTCGTCCAGTGGGTGTGGTGATGCGGCTGGAAAGCATGGTTGCATTTTTTGTGACTCTCCTCTTTTATCAAAATGTAATGGAATATTATGATGAATTTTCATTCTGGAGTGAATCCACACGGCGCGTTGCGTTGTATAATCGTCTGTAAAAACGATTATAGCTCACTGTTGGAACGTAGGGTGGATTTTGCCATAGTTGCCATGCTTGGCAGGCGGTCGGCAACAGCGATTTTTTTATTTTCAGTTGTTATTAGAAAGATACTGTAGCCCATGTACTGTTTCGTTTTCTTTTCGTCACCTCTTACGACCCTCAAGGAATGGTGTGGTGGTTTACCAGCACGTACTAAATATTAAATTGGAACTGTCATATCGGTATCGTAATTTGTTGCTTGTTTTCCAATAAAAAATATCACACCCTGAGGGGGATTTCTTAGGCGTACATTACACGCTCATGCAGGCATCAGTCAATTCTATCAATCATGATTGATAAAAGCGGATGGTGACTGATAGGCGTACATTACGCGCTCATGCAGACGTCAATCAATTCCTTCAATCATGATTGATAAGAAAGCGGATGGTGACTGATAGGCGTACATTACGCGCTCATGCAGGCGTCAGTCAATTCCTTCAATCATGATTGATAAAAGCGGATGGTGACTGATAGGCGTACATTACGCGCTCATGCAGACGTCAATCAATTCCTTCAATCATGATTGATAAGAAAGCGGATGGTGACTGATAGGTGTACATTACGCGCTCATGCAGACGTCAATCAATTCCTTCAATCATGATTGATAAGAAAGGGGATGGTGACTGATAGGTGTACATTACGCGCTCATGCAGGCGTCAATCCCTGCATTACACGGTAGGTTATTCGTCAATCACAGCCGTGATTGTAGTTAAACTGACGCCTGCATGAGCGCGTAATGTACGCCTATCGGTCACCATCCGTTTTTTATCAATCATAATTGATGGAATTGACTGAACCCTGCATGATCGTGTACCTAAGTACTCGTAATGTACGCCTAAGAAAAGAGCGTTGTCATCCTAGATTATTGTATATATATTAGGTTGTCATTTGGATATTCAGATTTCTGAACAGATGAAAGATGTCACTTTGGATGTCATAGTGAATATTTATTGTACGAGTAAAGGCTTTAAATTTTTCTTGTAATATTACATTGTATTCCAATATTTTTATATTAATGTCCAAAACTATTTTATGGATCCTTTCAGGTTCCATATTCATATTAATTGTATTTGTTGTATTTTGCTACCTCATGAGCACAGTAGATCCTAAACCTTACCAAACAAACTACACAACTGGTAGAAAAATGGATGATGTACCGGTAAACTTTATAATTTCATTTCATTTTATAATTGTATTAATTTAAATACTAAGCTTTTACTTAAATGTCTATGAAGCGATTGATTGATTTAAACTTTGTTAATTTCTCTACTTTCCATCCAGTTTGACGACTTATATGGGAACGATGAATTGAGTGCGAATGATAATGTACATTATGGCTTAGAAAAAGTTCCAGAAGATTATGAAGCAAGAACACCGTATAAAGGCGAGGTCGAATGGGAAACAAATTTTCGTAAATCACTATCCGTTCAAATACCAGTTGTAGTACCATCTATTTCAAAAGAAAACGCCACAGAGCGTACGGGATCTTTTAGAACAAAAAAGACTAATAAAGAAAAATCGATAACGTTAATGTTTTTCCCTATAAAAGACTACAGATACTATAGAAGATCCGTCAATAATTTAGATAAAGCAGGAAGTATAAAAAAAGGCGTAAATGTAACTAAAGTTGTTGAAAATACTAATGAAGCACGAATGAAGGCCATAATTGATCCGAATGATTTAATTAATGTAGAAAGATTAAATAATAGTATAAAGCAACTAAATGAGACAAATAAACAATATGAGGTACGGTCCAATGATACACTTGTTTACAATATAGGTGAGGAATCTATTAAAATAGTCGACGGCAACAAAACCTGCTTATAACGTTTCTTCAAATATTCACACAAAATACTTTAAAAATGAATAAATTGAAACAGAAAATTTTAGGAACGTTTAATATCATGTAAAAACGTCTGCGTTTCTTCCTAATAACGTACAAGCCAGCACAGAAAGATACACATTTAACTTTTTATGCAAAAATAGCATATTTCAAAACAAAACATCTGTTAACAAGTTGGGATCGACAATATCTTTTGAACAAGGTTGTGGGTATGGAGCTTAGAGGTTGACTTAAAAAGATTTTTTTGAAAGTAACAATAATGTCTGAATGTTTTAAATAAAGATAGTTTTATTAAATGGCTAAGAATGAAACCCTATAATAATATCAATATTGGTATTCAATTCATAACTCGAATATAGCAAATGGTATTAAAATTTAATAATTCAAAAGAATTCTTTAAGACGAAACACTAACGTTTTGTGGTTTTTCATTCATTAATTCGTTCATAAGCCCTTTAAAAGTTACTGTTTGCCAAACACAGAGCTCTTTACAAACTTCCTTATAGAGGAAGTTTTTCGTTGCGCCCCGTCTTTCTGCGGTGCAAGGAGGGTCGGCGTCCGTTTACAGCTTCAAAGATCTCTCGTCGATCGGTAAGCACCAATCCCAAAGGTGGAGTTTAGTGGGTTCTGTTATAAAAGTCTCCACATAGCCACGCAGGCCGCCGCTGCGTGGTATGCTATGAGCATTCACCTCCCTCCCCGTCACCGGAGGGTTGCACTTATTTGCTTCGGGTGCAAAAAAAGGAAGTTTTTGCCATACTTTATATGCTTGGTAGACGGTTGTCATCATGGGTTGTTATCAAAGAGATGCTGCTGCCCATATGTTTCAATTTTCTCTTTCGCCTCTTATATAAGAGAAGACGATGTCAGTGGATTCCCTCACGTCATTAATACACAGTGATGGTGACCTCAACTAATAGACGGTCTACTGCTGGACATATTGTGGTATATTAAATTATATTGTTCTGCCGTATCAGTATGTCAGTCTTTTGTATTATCAAAATGAAATAGATTTAAGCTAGCTTCTAATTACGAGATCCACTAAACAAGATGGGTCGATCGAGTCTTTTACGTCTTAGATATCGTTTAAGTACCGCGAAATAAAGGTAAGAATATATATGAGTATGTTAAATTAATAAATTTTTAAGAACACACATCTTTGAGTATAGAAAGCACTCATGAAATGCTTTTTTTTATAGAATAAGGGTGACGACGAGCACACAGTCGACCTGATGGTAAGTGGGTGCTATGGTTCATAGACCTCTACATTTATCCTCAATTAAGAATCAAAATGCAGATGCGTTGTCACACTTGAGGACTAAGATGGAAACTCTATATTCATCATACGAAACACAGCAGCATTAAGCTGCTATTTTAACCTGATATTCTGTGAGTTTTACCACGTGCTCGGCGGTGAAGGAAAACATCGTGAAGAAACCTGCATGTTTGAGGAATAAGAGAAAAAAAATATGTCGAAGACATGTGAAGTTCGACAACACGCATGGGGGCAGTGCGGCGGACACTTCCTTGCCCTAAAACCCTCTCAGAAATGAGGGGAGGCCTGTGCCCAGCAGTGGGACGACAGTGGGCTGTAACTTTACTTTTTTTTTATTCTGTGAGAACGTGGTCCTTCCCCGATCGAGCCGACCCATTCGTGCTACAACCATAATATAGCTGCAGCGTGGCTCTACCAATGATCATGTTATCGTCTTAACCTTTCGTAACGTATCACCTACTGTCTGTAATTAGTTTTTTTTATTGACGCAAATTACACTAAGTGAAGGATATTGTAATTAAATGCGAAGATTAGGTAAGTAGTGGAATGCAGCCGGATTGATTGTGGCACACTTTTTTAATCTTCACTTTTGGACGAACCGTGTTGTCCACATTGACGTAACAGAAGTAGTTGGTGGCCGGGGTATAAGTCACTATAATACATCTGCGGGTCTTTTTGTTTAGGTTCTGCGTGAACGATCCCGCGGGTAAAATCTAGTTTTTATTAAAAGTATTCAGTAACAGCAAATTTTCAAAGTTTTGGAGAGTTTTACTTGCATTAATTCCAAACATAACGTATTAATATTAATAATATTATTAATATGAGATGCATGGATGCATCAAATGCATCGCCATGAGATGCCCACGAACTCTAACCCCCTATCTACACCAATGGTTGTCCATGTCTTTGGCATCTTATTGTATTGCTGTAACATCAATTTGCGAATTAGAGGAACAAAGGTATGCCTTCGTATTTGGCCTTAAAATATGGTAAGAAACTTCGCGGTTACTAATACATAGCAGTGCTATATTTTTTATAAAACAAGTGGTAAACGAACTTACCATCCACCTGATGGTAAGTAAGACTGTAGTCATGGGACACCTGCAGCCAACTTTAAACAAAGAAAGCACCTAAGAGGAATAAGATGGAATGCCCCACAGCCTGTAGTTATTCTGACTCTGTATATATCTCTCTTCGGATAAACACACACTAGTGCAAGTACTGCTATTTAGAGACTTCTGACCATAAAAAGAATCCTACCGACTAGAATTACAATAAATAGATTTCGATGAGTTTGAAATCTGATTCAGAATAGTTTATAAAAGACTATGTGCGCTTGAAGATGGGATAGAAAATCAGGAACAATACATTCAGCTTAGGTTCAGTTATTTAAAATCAGCCCAAAATTGTAACCGTTCTAACACTTTGAACTGCAATAGCCTAATGCAAACTACATACTTATAATTTAATTCACCGCCGCAGGCAGTATCCACGTGTACAAATCATTCGGCCACACCTCGGCAATCAGCGATCGTGCTGCAATTACTAAATATTATCGATCGGTGAATTAAAACAAGATATTTAGACGTCGATTATTTGAAGTCTCCGCTCACTACGAGTGATTTAGAAACACTCGCTTCACATCTTGTAAGTCCAGGGATTTTCAAGAATGCTACAACAGCCTTTACATTTACACATGTTGTAACACACCGGTGTTTTTTATGCAATAATGATGATGTTTGCTTAATATGCACTCATATTCTAATGTTTAATTCATTTCGATGTCTATAACAACAGCTGATAAAGATTTTGTTTTGTAATCGTTTTTGATCAAAGATATGTAAATCGCTCCTATAAATTAATGTCTTTGTGATCGGTACAGTTAAGAAAATTATTCTTAAATGCTGTCTGTTGTCCTGATTGAGGTAAAGAATTACCGTTAAAAATAGCGTCTTGTCTGATAACGAACTGGTTCGAATTATTCCGGGAGTAAGAGGTTTAAAGCAACGTCAGATTAAATCGAAAACTGAATCGAATTTGACATCAATTTCGGGGGTAAGCTTGCTGATTTACACTTATGGGGCAAGTTTGGAGGTAGGCTTGAACACAGTGTCAGAAGAACAACGAATGTGTCACGTGGCAGAGCTACACTGTAGCTTTATGGCTACCACATGAATGAGTCGGCTCAAGCTGGAAGAACCAAGCCCGCGTAGTTTACATACGTGAAATAGCAGCTTAATGCTGCTGTGTCTCGTATGGTAAGTAACGACAACAAATCTAAACCACCTATTTACAGAAAGCATTTTATCTTAGACCTATGAGAAGAAAACATGTCTGCATTTTCATAATTGAAGATATGTATGTAGGTGTTCCACTTCCATATTGTTATGAGTTTAGGGTTCGTGACAATAAAAACTGCCGATTGAATTACCAAAATTGACACTTTAATTATCGAACACCAACTAAATCTAATACACACTAACACTTTAGTTCACTTTATTTCACTCCTAAGTCTTCACTTGTATCGCCAATTCAATACTGCCCCGGTCGCGACCCTAAACGGCTTTGTATAGGGCTTTTCCACCGAAACATCTGGAATGTTCCAGCAAATACCTAGATGTAGAATATTCGAATGTGGAGTTTTCTAGAAAGCTTAGTTCTTCTATTCGATAATAAATGGCGCTAGTGCTATGACCCAGATATCAAAGGTGGCGCGCAACAATATCACTTATAAATGAAAATGCATAATCTAATCTGTAAAACCGTATAGCACAAATTTGCACAATTTGTATTCGAAATCAAAACTCGCAATTCTAAGGTACTCATGGGTTAGGCCGGTATACAGAGATAATCTCGAGTTTGAACTTCAACTCAACTCTGTTTGTGTGGAGTATATACTATGCCCTTGAATCAAATTTGGAAGTTGGTAGTTTGGAGTTTAAGCTCTAGATTGTCTCTTAATGTCGGCCTTCCTCGTGATCCACGTGGTTGTACAGTTAATTGAACAATTATAGTAGAATACTTGTACTGAAGTAGATTAAGAATGTCTATAATTGTCTTTATATTCTAATGGCTTCGCATTACTCACGTTTACAGGGGATTATTATTGTTATGTTAGAGGCTTACAAGTTGATAATTTAGATCGTCGAGTTAATGTTTTGCATTTATGAATTTAGGTACACAAAACAGAACATCAAAATCCCTGACTCTTGCATACTATAAACCATGTTTTTACTTTGAAAAGGAACTTGAAGTTATTGCTGAACACACATCTGCTCGTCAGGTTTACCTCGAAACTTGAAACAAGATTATACAACCAGTGCGTGTTGCCAGTGATGACTTATGGATCTGACACGTGGGCCTTCACTGCTGGCGGTATGAGAAAGCTCAAAGTCGTTCAGCGAGCTATGGAGCTTGGGGTTTTTCTACGTGATAATCTTCGAAATGTAGAAATCCATAGTAGAACCAGAGTAACTGACATAGCCCAACGGATTAATGGCAATGGGCCGGCTATATAGCTCGAAGGACCGACAAACGAAGGGGAAAAATGTTCACGAATGGCAGCCTCGTATCGGTAGGCAAAGTGTAGGATGATCCTCACTAGATGGAATGACGATCTGGTAAAACATGCAGGAAGTCGATGGATGCAGGTGACTCAGTCAATAGATGCAGGTGATTCCGACGTGCCCTTCGTGGCATTCCTTGGGAG